CTTTATTTACTTACTACACACACACACACACACACACACACACACACACACACACACACACACACTTTTTTGTTTTCCAATTAGATGACGTTGGGAAACAGTTGCTAACCAGTGAGTTCCTCTGTCTTTTACCAATGGAAAAAAGGGGTCCAAAGGCAAAAAGGAAAGAGAGGGGAGTTCCAGCCCTGCCAAAAATCCAAATATTGAAAATGGAAAACTGAAATTTTCCAGATTCCAAACATCTAAATGAAAGAACATTTTAAGAAAAAATGGAACAAAAATGTTCATTTTGTTTCAAAATCTCATATCTGTAGGAATCAATTTTAGTTATTAGTGTCCATGGTTCTAAGGTGTCATGAGTTAGCAAATTACATAATAATCCTTGCTGAATCTTGTGCCCACCGAATTTAACAGGAGTTTTTCCATTAAGCTCAATGGGAGCAGGAGAAGGCCCCTATAACATACATTAGTGTCCTAAATCCATTCAATACAACAAAATTACTCTCTGACGTTTCCTGATATATTCTGATAGACGGTTTCTATCAGGTAACTTGGTACTTAAATCATGCCCCACAATCCACGCAGCAAACCTTTATAGTGCTCAAACTGCCAAATTCCAATTGTCCACATTAGATAAGCACAAACGTTGGCTTCCAGTGCTGTGGGGCTGACCCATCTCTATTTTTTATATTTCATGATGGGGGGGGGGGAGGGGAGGGAGAGTTCAGGTTTTTTGGGGAGTGGGGGGTTTGCCCAAAAGTGAGTTTTTGCTGTTTCTAAATATAGACATACAAAATAAACTTTCTTTATGGTATCTGTACTGGCTGCCTGCATTTTAATTCAGAAATTGTATTTTTCCTCTGAATAAAAAATCAACATGGCCAGATGTTTTGCATAATGAAACTGTGTGTTCTTTCCAGTCCAGTGCATGCAAACATTTATTTTTTGGTAGCCCACTTAAAAAAAACTCTCAAAATTAATACACAGTATGTACAGTTGAAAAAAAAGATTTTTGGATATATATATTTTATTTGACAGTGGTTTAGATTATCATACAGTAAACAAGATTTCTGTAAAAGTTAATTTATCCATAGTGGTGCGTTTCATAAAAATAGTTGCTCACTTACAGCCTTTCTGTGACTATTAATACATGGAATTATATTTATAGAGATAGAGCTGTACAGGGTAAATTCACAGCTAACACTACACAGAAATATTATTTGGAATGGGGTTTAGATGATGTGCTGTCTTCACAGGTTATTGATTACAGCCGCATAAAGCAATTACCGCACAAGGAGTAGCTGTGAACTGTGCAAATTAGAGTTTATGCAAGCATAATCTCAATTGTTTTTCAGGTTTTATGATTTGTTTCTTTACACATCGAAAATAAGATACCGGGACGTGCATCTACACTACTGAAGCATTGTCCAAAATCCAATTCAATAAATTAATGGCAAATTATATTGGATTTCTAGTTCAGGGGATAAAGATTTTTTTTTAATTAAATAAAAGTTGTCAACAGCTACATGGATTTGTGCTTTTTTAAATATGATAAATGGAGTTTTTCTTAAAAAAAGGTTTTAAAAGCTGCAAAATCCTTTGTTTGAGACTTTTTAAATAGTTTGACAGGAAGAAACATGCCTGCACATTCTAAGGGGAGGATGAGTCTAGTGCAGTGTATGAGACATATAGTTATGTGCTGACCTGTTTGGATAATGATGATCTCAATGTGACTCTTGAGCAGAGCACATGTAGATCAGCGTTTGCTAGCGTACTGATGTCTATCTATTTCTAAAAATAGCATCAACATTTTTTAAAAAAAGCAGTGTAGTATTATCCAGAGCTTTTTGGCAAAACAAGAAACCTACTGGGGATAAAATGATGACTCATGGAATTTGGAATCCTTCCCCAGGAAGGTGGACTTGAGACTTGAAATTCGAGACAGAGAAACAAGTAAGATGGAAATAAAAGACAGAAAATTCCTCTGATGAAAATATAATAAACTAAGAACTTTTATCTTGGAAACAAGTCTCATCTGTGTTAGTGTGTGCATTAAAAGGGTCTGATCTGCCAAAACTTAAAGATGCCTTAACTAAAGTCTGTACAGATGTATGAAATATAGCACTGTTAATAAGCAAAGTTATTGTTTTCTGTGGGAGAGAGAGGCCTTTTTTTAAGGAAACTGCAGCTTTTTTTCTTTTAAGAATCATCCTGGGTCTTGTAACCGTAAGTCTCAGTTTTGAGCTTGCCCAATTGAGGTTTCTGTGCTACTTGTAATATTAGGGGAACCTGTGGTAAATCGCTTTTGAGGATAATTTGCAACTACAACTGCACCCTAACTCCTTTCCAATGTACAGAAATATGGTTTGTTCACAAAATGGCAGTAGAAATGCTATCACACCAACTAATCCACTAGATTCCCCAACTCATCCAACTCAACACATGAAGTGAACTATGCTGCTGGGTATCATGTGGACTATTCCAAATTGTTAACAATGGAGACATGTCATGGGCGTATAGTTTCAAAGAAACCCTTCAACCCTTGTCTAGATATGTTGAGAACAATGTATTTACAACATCTTCGTTCAGTTAAAATATCCTTTCTCAGTTTCAGCTTGCTTCGTGCAGTTTTATTTAAGGCGATGTTCCAGTTTGTGATTGCTCTAACTTGTTCCAGTTCCTTGATATAAAGTTTGAACTAAATCCAAGTCCTTCATGCAGTGGAATAAAAATACTAAAGCTACACTGCACTGTCCTTCTCTGACGTATTGTCCTTCGTATTGTTTTGGTTTCTTCCATAGCTGCCAAAGTCCCTAAAATGGAACTGGGGACTTTAGGGTCAGTTTTAAATCTCCATGTTGACTATATGCTGCTTGAACTTATTAGACATTGTGCACATTGTCATGGAATTACACATTAATGTTTCCATTCCTCAGTGTTTTGTGTATATGTGTGAGAGTTAAAATAAATTAAAATAAATCAATGTGAGACAGAAGCTAAGAAGTATGTTTTGCATCAGTGTGAAACAGTTAGAGGGCAACAGTTCACTTATTTATCTGCTCATGGCAGACGTGCTAGACTTTAGTACACTAGGTAGCTTATCCGAGCCAGGAATTTTCCATGGGCCTGGTGAGACAGTTGCCTTCCGAACTGTATTGTTGATGCTGCGCGTGTTAATGGAATGGAGATGTCCCTTCCTGGGGAACTCACTGGGTTTCCCATCAGGGTCCCTCTTGTTCTGGTCCATATCACTTCCATGTGAGCTGCAGCTATTGCTACTGTATGTCTTTGTAGCACCAACTAAATCAAGCTTGACATGTTCAGAAGCTGCAGCTGATTTCTTCTCTGTGGTATTTCCAGATCTGTAATCTTCTTTCATACTGAGAGATCCATCTTTCTTGCTTTCCGGCTTCTTGGATCTCCCAAGATGTTCGTCACTGATTCCGGCACATACATGCTCTCTTGCTCCAGCCTCGATCGTAACACTCTGTCCCACTGCCTTACTTTCGGAGGTGGGCCTGCCACCACCAGTGGTCTTTTTTTTGCCTTCTGAGTATCCTTTCCTAGAAGCCTCTTCATGCTTTGTCCTGTCTATCTTTTTAGGACTTGCTGACCTTTCTCTTTGCTCTCCTAACCTTTTCTTTTTGTGGCCATTTGACGAAAGCTCCTTTGGTTTTCTTACATCATGTTCCCTCTTGATATCCCATCTTGGTTCTGGGTTTATCTGGTGAGAAGGGTCAGAGAGTGGGGCTAGATGTGATGAAGATAATGGTGAGATTATGTCATCGAGGGAAATAGCTATTTCCGGCAGACCTGGGGAGGTGGCAGAGAGAGAACTCCAGGAGTTTGGTTCGTCTGTTATAACAACAAAGAGAAGGGAGTTAAGAAATTATTCACATAATTTGGACCATATATTTCAAACATCAGTTACAATATCCAAAACCCATACTGGACCTAAATCCGGCAGCCCTTAGTGGGCAAAACTCTCATTGAAATCAATGGATGTGGGCAGTAGAAATGACATCAAGAGATTTGCCTGAGTAAGAACTGTGGGATTTGGTACTGAAAATATCAAGTGCGTTGATATAGGTTTAACGTTTCTTTGCGTATATTAAAAGTATAATAATAATAACATATACTGGTGAAATCAAAATGCATTTTTGAGCCATTATAGTCGATTGCTTAGTGAGCCATATAATTTCGTTCTCAAAGTACAAACAAAGAGGCCTTTCTGCTACCTACTATACGTATCCCTACAAGCATACAACAATCAGCAGAAATTTGTAGGCCAGACCATGTCATCGATCAAATCCAATTTTTTCTAAACAACTATACTATTGCAATGTCTAGGGCCCTATTATTCTGAAAGTGTATCTACAGTGTTCTGCCTTATGCAAAGACATATAGGCTCTGGAAAGTCTTCGCTATCACCCTTGACTTTGTCTCAGTTACTCTGCCTCAATAGAATTTGGATAGATTCTGTAGATCCCATTTTCTTAAGATAGATGGTACTTAGGATATGCTGAGCCACAAAGAAACCCAGAGGCATCATGTTCTTTTCCATTTCATAAATGCATGTTTATTACGGAGAAAATGTTATCTCCTGACTGAGGGTTAAGTCTGGGCTTCAGAAGGGCAGCACTTACATATCTGAACTATTCCTAAAAATCTACAACATTTCTTTTTCCTAAGTAACGTTGTGGCCAGTTTCAAATCATCATGAGGATGCACATTAGTGTGAAAAGTGAAATGTGCTTTATGCGTCAGTCTGGGATGTAATGACTTACTCTGTGGAGACCGTACGCTTAACAGAAGCAGCCTGCTTAATTATTTATTTTTTTGGCAGATAAAAATAGAAGAGACAATATTGAGGTGGGTGATGTAGTGAGAGAGAGCAGCATGGCCAGCTGAGGAGATATTTATTTTCCCATCTGGTGCCAGTCATGTGCTTTTGCACCATGAGCATATCTGAGGAAAAATAGCATTTGAAAGGTCAAAACCGCAAATTCTGTGTAAGGCAAACACACTTTGGGCTGGGATTCTAACTGGGTCCAGGGTCTCCACTGAATTTTAAAACCCCTCAAACTAATAAAAGGAGCGCTCAACTTTTCAGGCCTCTCAGCTCTCATGAATTTGCCTATGAAAATGCCTAGTGCTGCTCAGTGACAGTGGCCTCTTCCAGACATCTATGGGCTAATTTGTTGCTTAATACGGCTCTATAACTCCCAATAGAGTTAATGGGAGCCATGTTTGTGAACATGGAGCAGTGCATCACCGCTTGACTCTTTAAAAATAGCTGCAGCCTATTAGATCCTGTTATACTTAAATCACTAGCTACATTTCACTTAAGTCCAAGTAATTTTTTGAAATATTTTAGTGCAAAAACTATAGCTTAAAATGGTAACCCTCTGACTTTTTCCCTCCTGCTTACACCATGGATCTACCTGAACCTATTTTTTCTCCCAAGGAATTAGTGGGGGGAAAACTTTTCAAGTAAAGATCCTATGTGCCAAGTTCACATCAAAATTAGAAAGCTCTGGAAAAAAGTCAAATTTTGCCCTTTTTTAATATCCACGCGCCACCACTGAAGTCAGCTGTGGGGGCAGGATGTAAAAAGGAAACAGAGAAACAACTATAATTGTGCTTTTGCCAATTGTAACGCATATCCACCCCCCCCCCAAATTAAAGGCATTGTTGAACTTCACTGACCCGAAGCAGAGCGGTCTGGGCTATTTTGAAATCCCTAATCTCACGTGACAGTAAACGACGTCCTTGGGGGCGATCAGTTCCAGAGCAGTAAAAATAGGAAGGGCCAGCAGCAATACGATTGAGTGGAGTGATCTAGCTGCCACAGTACAAGACTGTGTCAGTCCCTGTAAATCACCTGTCCCTATTGAGGACTGAGCCAGTTCGCTACCTGTCAAAAACAGAGTGGATGGGCTAATCACTTGCTCCCCATGATATAGCGCAGTGGCCGCAGGCCTATCACCTGTTCCAAAACACCCAGAGGGAAAGGGACCAAGGGGTGAGTGGGCCTGCTGGGTAGCCCTCTGAAAATAGAGGGGACCCGGTAGTCAGGGGACAGAGGGTAATTGTTCTCTGAGCTGTCCCCCAAGAACATGTGCAACCAGCTAGGAATCCTGCAGAGAGAGCCCCAAAACACACTCTGCTGCTCCCAGTCATTCCCCAAGATCCCTTACCCAAACATGTCAGACCCGTGTAAAGGGTTGAATGTAGTTCAGTTTGAGTTTTGGGTGAAGCATTGGTGTCTGGTATATGCATGGATTTCTTATTACTCTGAGCCTGTTCATCCATTCTCAGTAGTTACCCAAATCAGACTCTGGCCAGGGATGTCATCAGTCACTCTCCTAACTCTTGCTAAAAATGCCGTAGAATCTTTAATGACCCCAAATGGGCAGGACCTCAATTTTCTCTCTTTCTAAAGGCTGCAGTTGCAACAGAACATTGCTCCCAGCACCATGCTTGGCAATGTATCAAATACTGACGTAGCCAAGGGCTGCCTCCTGAAACACCAACAATACTTCCTGTAGCGCTAGAAAGTCTCCACTCCAGTCCCTGGCTTTGTTCAGCTGCTGAGAGCTGCTGGTGTGCAGTAGGGCAGGCACGGATCACTACATTACATGCCGATGTAACTTTTGCTTGCAAGACTCATGTTAAGACTGAAACCTTGATATTTCTCTCTTTAGCTCACCTGGGATTTTTGCAGACAGGTAAAGATTTTGTACAGTCAATAACCAAAATGGAAGCTCACACTGAAGTGACTCTCCTGTTTACTTTCTTTATCCATGATTGCATCATGGAAGACTAATGGAAATTTTATGCCTAGAGTGACAGATTTTATAACATGCCAATTTTTTCAATAGTTTGGATCCTCCACTGCTAAAAGTGAATACAGGTGAAATATATGAACAATTACATTAGTTGCCAAGTTAGAATGTATAATGTCACTGGTATTTCCCATTTCTTGGGCCTAGAAGTACTACTTGCAGGGAGACCTTAATGGACATTTTGCCTGTGTAAGAACTGCATGATTGGGCCCTTTGCTTGAAATTTATTTATATTGTTTTTTTCACAATGGCATGTGTGCATCAGTTTTTTAAGACCACTACTATAAGTAAGGGGAATTTGAAATGCCCTAAGAAAATAATTTCCAGTATGCCTATATCACAAAAGATCCCTATACATAGTAAATCCCCCAGTTTATATTTTGGGGAAATGTATTATGTTTGAGGAAGAACGTGAGAACAATAACTTTCTGTATCTCTAAACATCGTCATTTTGAGATGGAATCTGTTCACCCCCCCCTTCTTTTTCTTTTTAAATGAGAAGAAATTATGCAGAAAAAAGCACCCTTCAGTCTCGGTAAATGCTGGCAGCAAGCCATTGTTGTTGCAACATGGAATTGACTAACAAAGAGAATACCGATGCAGTGGGATTTAAATATAGTTTTCCCCTAGTCTTAGAATGTTATGGGAAAATATCAAAATTCTAGGGTAGATCAAAGGGCAGTAATGCAAAGTAATTTGCCGCTCAAAAGAAAAACCTTTTAAGAGCTGTGTGCAAACATAATGGTTTGTTTGAGTTTGTTCAACCATCACTAAGATGATTGCTTTTCCATAACAAACATAAATATGAAAAAATGCAAAATTTTATGCTTTAGCGCTACCAAATTAATTATTTTACTCTCTCTCTTTCTCCTCTCCACCCCATCTCCTTTCTGATTCTAGAGGAATTTGGTAATGTGTCTGAAGCATCAGGTCTTTGCTTTAACATCAAGACATTTTACAGATACAAACAAAGTCTGTGGTGGTAGTTATAAATATAACCTATTATTTAGCAACTTTCATTCCAAAGGATCTGAAAGCATATTACAAACATTTAAAACTATATACAAAGATATGCTTTCATTCCCTTCCACACACCACTGAAATGCAGCCACATCTGTGGTAGAAAATGGTGGCTGTTTAACAATCTATGAAATACTACTGCACAAGTTTATGAAAAGAACAAAAGAATAGCATGTTCAGTTGAAACTGCAAGGGGGGGAAGGGGATTTAGGCAGGATTATAACTACCCATATTACATACTAAGGCTGTCACTCTTACAATGGCCAAAAAAAGAAAAGGAAAGAAAAGAAAGTGCCATGAGATTTTTAATGTGACAAAAAGGAGGAAATGAGTTAAGCGGGAGCTTTCCAAAGGTACAAAGAACAGTCAGTTTCCAATGCCCATTGAACGTTAATGGTGCCTCTCTCATCTGTGTTTTGGAAAATCTCCTTTGAACTAATACTGTAAATAGAGTAGATGAACTGGGAATGTCATGAGTTACTGCACTTGCATCCCAGTTGGTATGTTAGCAGGTGCTTTTTGGTGGAGTCCCGGTCTTCACCACCTCCACCATGTGAGCAGAGATCCTGTCATGTGCAGGAACTGAGCATGTCTAGCTAGAAACATTCACTTATGTAACAAATTGCAGTCACATGAACCTAGTAGAGTGGTGACTGAGTCCCACATCCTCAAAGGTATTCAGGTGCCTAACTCCCATTGAAATCAAAGGAGAGTTTACTCTATGGGGGAAGAGATACTAGACAGTCGTTTTGGGGAATAGTGACTTGAGAAAAGTAGGAGGAAGGAAACTTTCTGGCTATAGATGTTATGATGATATTTTGGCAGTGGAGCCAAACATATGAAGTTTGGATGGTTTGTGTGTGTTCCTCTCCTAATTAAGGTCTAATCCCACACCTGGTGCCCATTTTTTTTCTGACCACACTGTAACCATGACAACAATTACAGGTCGGGACTGCAATTTTCCAGCTAAACAAAAAGATGGTACCT